CAACAGGATGTTAAACTGGAAGTTTCCTCTTACACATCAAGATATACTAGATATGAAATTCTAAAGCCAGGTTTTCAAAGGAAATAACCTTACCAAACTTAAAGCAGCTGCTCTAAAACTTACAAGGAGAATTAAAAGGGTCAAGACAGAGGAGATATGGAGATGGAATTTTTGTGTGGAGGATTTCTTTGGAGTGGGCTTCCCAGGGGGAAAAGTTGGAATGCTTTCCTCTTCACCCCAGGGCATCAGCTGGAGCCCTTGCAGCTTGATTTGTATCTTCCTGAGTTTGCAGGAACAGTGAAATGGAATCCGACTCCAGCAGGAGAAATCTTATGGGCTAGAGAACGTGACTGTGGTGATGGTGGGAGCAAAGGAGAGGTGACTTTATTGGGATGTTTACATTCCCAATTTGTTGTGAGCAAAAGATATATGGGTGTTTCTCAAGTACCAGAAGTGGGCCGTGCAGGAGAGCAAGCTGCTCAGTGTTGCTGAAGAGAACTGTTAGGGAGTGCTGTGGATTCCACCAGAAAAACTGGTTGGAATGGACAACTGGAAAACCCGGAGCTGAGGGGAAACAGCACTAGAATGTTTCGCTCTTGACACCGGAGTTGCAGTAGGGGAGCCTCAGGTGAGAAAGAGTCAGATTTAAACATCAGTTAGACTCAGAGAGCATGAAGCCAACTCGCTATGCGACCAGTCAAGAACTTTCTGCTTACTCCCTCCCTTCAACCCAAGACAGGCCTGAAGTCAAAATCAGCAAGCTGGGGAGCATGGGGAAAGAAGAAACTCAGCACATCCTTTCTCCCAAAAGTCGTAGATCCACCTGAAGTTGGTGCTAGCTGAGGGAGGAGAAGGTTCAACTCTAAATAGTTTTAGAGGGTCCTTTATTATTTGGGACTGGGGGTTCTAATCATTGAAATAAGGCTCAATTTTTTATTTAAAGTGACTGTAGGAGTCTTCACAGTGAGCAGCAAAGCCACGGGGCCTGGGAAAAGCTTTCTAAATGTACAGGATTAGACAAAAATAAAGTTGCGTTTTGACCATATCTCACCAGTAGTTCTTGTTCAGTATACTGACTACATCTGCTTGGTATGGTGTTTGTGACGTGCCGTGCTCCTATGAGTGAACACTACTAATGTTTTTGCATTAATTTTGCTATACCAGCTTTCTTTTGCTTAGAATTTGCCTGGTATATATTTTTGCATCCTTTTCTTTTGAACTTTTCTGGATAATTTTAAGAGCACTTTGAGAAAGACCATGAAACTGGATTCTGTGCCTTTAAAAAAATCCAATCTGAGGTTTTCTTTTTAATGAGTTGAATCCATGTATATTCATTATGATTATTGACATATGGGATGTATATTTCTACCTTTCCACTTTGTGTTTTCTGTTCATCATACTTTTTCTTTGTATCCTTCCCTCTTCCCTCCTACTTTCTGTTGGACCAATGGAGTTTTCTTTGGAATTTTGGAATTTACATATTCTATTTGTAATCTTTTAGTTCTTATCCTAAGATTTTTCTAAATTGTTTATCTAACTTTATATTTTTAAACAAAATCTAGACTATCTCCAACTTCTATTCTCTTATTTATAGACTTTTACATTTTGAATTTATTTTCCAAAAAAAATATATACAACTTTTAATAATTGGCATTTCTATAAGCAAGCAAACAACCATAATTTTGATAGTTCACAGTTCATGACGCACTTTTAAATATATTATCTAATTTGATTCTAGAAAAAGCTCAGCTAAGTGTTAGCTTCATAATGAATTAATGAATTAGGAAAAAAAGAAAAGAAAACAGCTCTTCAATTCGTAATGGTATCTTTAAAGACTCTTAAGAGTCTGGGGACCTCAGGTTGAGAACCACAGATTTTAGGAATATATTCTTTACCCTTTCCTTTTGGGAATGGAGAGAGGAGAGAGAATTATCATTTTTGAACATTTATTCTGTGCCAGAAATTTGTCTTAGGCAAGACGAGCCTTATATTTAATGGCTACCTTCTTTACTTTCTAGGTGTTTTTGGGTGTCATGAGAGATATTTCACAACATGTTCCTGTACCAGTCCATGTACACTCTCCTGAATGGAAAATGGGCTTGCTTATATTGGTAATGATATTGATGAAAATAATTTTAAAAACCGATTATAATAGCTGTTTATTTTGGAATCACCATGTTATCTAGGTGCTGAATCTCATGGGCTATCCTCCCAAAACCACTCTTCAGTTTTAGAAGGGAAGCCATTTAGTCATCTAGATGAAACTATATACCTGTGTAATTTCAGAATAGAGAAACTTGCTAAATCAGCAGAGTTGGGTAGTAGTTTGGGTACACTTATAATTGCCCTCTTTTTTAAAAAAATTGATCGGATAGGCTGGTTTAGATCCTTATAAAGCACTTTAGGCCTCTCCTGAATATTCCTAAGGTATCGTTTTTAAAAAATGAAACAATTAACAATAAATCAGCTAAAATAAAAAGAAACGACCTATGAACTGAACTGGAAAATATTGAATTATCAGTCACTGAGATATTACATATGCATTGCATTCTTATATTTTTCTCTCTTCCCATTTCCAGCAGAGATCCAGGAGAGGGAGGTTTGTGGCAGAGCTGGAAGTAGAAGCTGCTTGTAGCCAGTGGCTTTTCTATTTTGAAAAGGATTATATTCCTTGACAAAATCAAGCCACATGTTCCTGTATCGGAATGGAGGGCATTTGAAAGCAGCAAGAGAAGAGAGGTCAGGGTTTGTGGGTCCTTTCAGTAGCAGAGACATGAGTATTTCTCCATATCAGGACCCAAGGAGGACTCTATGATGGGCTCAGGGAAGCTGGGCATCTAGTCTTGCCAAAGATTTCCCTACCCAGAGGGTTGGATGGAAGCAGCAGGGACAAGGGATCTGAAGATACTGTGTCCATTCAGTAAATGAGCATCTCATCCCTAATCAGTGTGGAGAGACATCTGATGACTGGGGATCTCCTCAAGCTACAGTGCTAGATAAGACCATAGGATGTTTGTACAGCTAGTGGAGACGGGGAATCCCAAATAACTGAAGTGGGTGTCTCACCAACATGCTATGCTTGGATCACGGTCATATTTATGTTCATTTAAAAGCAATTTTAAAATGTGATATTTCTAACATGCTCAAACATGTGAGCTAAGATCCATCTGTTGCCAACCCTCCTATTCAAAGTTTCAATAACAAAGGAAACAGGCCCTTAGAGAGTGTTTCATGAGTGTCACAAGCTATTACACAACTGTCCTCTGAATGGATGAGTCCTTCTTAATAACTCTTCTAGTTGGCCAGGCCCTAGGTCTGAGAGGACATAATAATTCTAAGAATATATGACAAAGTATGAACTGTAGTTATTTCAGGTATGTGTATGCTAGAAATCTCTCATCCCTCCCACCCCATCCACTTTGCCTTCCTGCTCTGTGTCCCCCAATCTTACCAATATAGACTACATCAAAGGTCTTCCTTGCCCTCTGGCTTCCAGTTTGGCCAAAAGGAAATACCCAGCAGGAGTTAAAAAGGAGGGAAGAGTGAGGTGAGGTATTTCCCCCCTCATCCTGGATTCTCTCTTCAAGGTCTCTGTGAGCTTACTGTATCCTGATCACAGCTGCTGTCAGGTGGCCCTTTCCACACAGCTGTCTACCATTCCAGTAACCACTCCCCCACCTCCCCTCCTGGCTCCCACTCCTCTCCAGCTCCTACTCCATCCTTACCCCAGCCCCTCCCCTGACCCCGCTCCCTCCCCTCCTCTCTTTGCCTAGAGGTAGTAATACCATGTTACGTGCGGAATTGTGTCACCTCCAAATTCATATGTTGAAGTCCCAACCTCCAGTATCTGCAAATGTGACTGTATTTGGAGAGAGTCTTTACAGATGTAATTAAGTTAAAATGAGGTCATTAGGGTGGGCCCTAATCCAATATTACCGGCTTCCTTAAAAGAGAAGATGAAGACACAGGTACAGAGGAAAAGACCATGTGATGTCACAAAGACAGCCATCTAAAGTCAAGGAGAGAGGCCTCAGAAGAAACCAACCCCGCCAACATGTTGATCTGAGACTTCTAGCCTCCTGAACTGTGAGAAAACAAATTTCTGTTGTTTAAGGCACTCAGTCTGTGGTACTTTGATGTGGCAGCCCTAGCAAACTAATACACGCCGTGATCCTACTCCTCTGCTGACAACTTGGGAAAAATTCTCTATTAAGCTCCTCAGATCATCCATTTTGAGTCTCATTTATTTCCTGCTTGGGACCCTGACTGATCCAGTAGGAAGTATACATGACTGATCCAATAGGAGTATACATGATTCTTATTTCCATTTGTTCTTACTACATTTTTCAAAATTTCTGCAGTAACCACAGAATACTTTTTTTCGCTTAAGATGTAAAAAAAAAACCACTGTCATGAAACAAAATTTGGTTTGACTGGGAAATTTCCATAGAAGATGGTTTTATAATCACAGACTTCCAACGCCATCCCTCTCCTCCACAGATCCCCTACTCTAGGATTCCCAATATTATGTCCAAGGAATTATAAAAATAGAGGGAACATGACATCAATTAGGGAACTAGGGAAAGCTGCCATCCTTGGCCCAAAACTTACAAGTGTTTCTGATAGATATAATACTGAAAGGGGCTGCCCATGCTTCCTCTGGTGGGAAAGAGCAAAGCTCTGTGTAAATGTTAAGTGATTGTTATAGTACCCACTAAATATCCGATTGTACCAGCCCAGCCCAACTCATAGGGGCAAGGAGCATCAGGAACAAAATTGGCTCATAGAAGCAGCACTAGAAAGAAGTCCCACCTTGAGAAGCCACACTGAGGGGAGAGGCGGGGCCTGGCCTGACAGGGCACACTCCTGGCGGCCACACCAAAAAGAAAAAGGAGTTCTTTCACGAGGAGTCAGAACTCTCTCCCTTGATACCATCTAGACCTTTCCTTAGCCTGCTGACTTGTTAGCCGCGGTAACATTAAAGGCACACTACAAATTACTTGCTTTGAAATTTAGAAACAAATTTTATTTAAGATCTGAAATACAATTCCTAAAATATCAACTTCTCCAGAAAACCGTGGCTACACAATAATGCATTGCCTCTATCATGTTAGAACGTGCATTAGACTCAAATACAAAAACCATGAAACAAACCACCATCCTTCAACAATTTGAGCAAAGATAGAATGCCTAAGGAACAACATAGATGGACTTGCAGAGGATGGGCTGTTTTACTTCAAGCACCATAAAAAAAAGAGCACAAATGCATGGGTTTTCAGGTATATACATTAAGTTGAACCTTTGGCACTAGGAATCAGGGCATTTTGTCACGTAGCATTAACACATATTAGAAAATTGTGTAGTGTCAAAGGGATAGAACCACCAGCATTCAAGCAATGTTGTCAACTAGGCAATAAAATGTTCTACTGAATTTTTCTTCTTTGTCTAATTACTGCATACACTGGTAGCAACTTTGAAATGAGAAAAGGAGCTTGTACTCCTTTTATTTTCTGTTTAAAACAAAACAGAAAACAAACTGAAACATAAGCCCTGTTATACATTAACAATTTTAAAGAACATCAATTATACAAGAAAAAGACTAAGAACGAAAAGAGTGTTTACAGATACCAGACATGACAGTGAGTGGTCAGTAGACCCTCACAGGGCTTTGCGGTGGTACTCAGCCGAAGCCACCTTGTAATCACTGGCAGTAAACAGAGACGCAGCATTCTTTGCCAGATATTTTAGGAAATCATGCAAATAGCCCAACAATAATGCAAGGCTCTTCTCATCAAGGGGCGTATATGCCAACATTGCTCCGATTCTTACGAATAATCTCAGTAGGTGTGGCGCTCCATAAACCTGGGACATCGGCGCATCAGGGTGAGCCAAGAGGATTTCAGCATACTGGGGCCTCTCAAATTTGTAGAGCAGCTGAGTGCCCAACATCACGTTGAAATATTCTTTTATTCCTGCCACGACTTCATTAACCGCATATTCCTTATTATCGACATTTCCCTGCGACTTCTTGCAATCTGCATACTCTTCCAGAATGGCATCTACATTTTTCTTAGCAGGGAGTTGAAACAGCTGCTTCTGCCTGGTAACTAAGTCCCAGTCCTCGACAAGCCATGGTTTTAATTCTTCAGGAATCTTCACTTTAACTTCCATTCTATTCTTAAACACCTCTTCACTTTCAACGGTGGGGTCTGCCCGGGCCCTTTTCTTCCGAGGTGGCTGAGGTGCTTCGCTGGTACTGCCACCATCTCCGTTTCCAGGAGTCTTCTGTTTGTTCTTTCTTGTCTTCCTCACAGATCCTGAAGGCGGGTTCTCCGCAGAGCGACCCCCCCACCTGCCAGGGAGAGCCGGTTCCAGATTCTTCTGCTGTGGACCAGCTGTCTTCTTTCCTGAGGAGGCCCCTCTCATCTTACTTCTCTGCATATTGCTTCTAGTTGGTTTTTTGAAGTTGTCTTCTTCTGCAGATTGTTGTCCACGAGTTTGAGAACCCTGCTTTCTGGAACTCATTCAACCCTGTTTTTATTCCAACCACTGTAATATATAAAGTATTTTACTTGGTTGTTTTCTTTGGTGACTTTTAACACACCGTGCTTCATAAAGGCCCATCAAAGCACAACTCATGCTACTCTCTTGGAATCTGGATTTCAAATCCTATTTCAGGACCATTTGTAAGTGACTTACTACCTCCTCCCTCTCTCTCTGATCCTCACTGCCACCCACCACTCTCACCCCACCCTATCACTCATCAGACCTGCCCATAAATGAGATTTTCTGATGCCACTCAAAAAGACAGGAATATAATTTTAGAGAAGGAATTAATTAAACATGAAGGAAACTACAAAAGGCAGTGGAGTTGAAATTCAAGACTCTTGAACAGGAAAAATGACAAGATGAAAGAAATAGGAAAGAGTAATTTAGTTGACTGGAGGCAAATGGGTAATAGTGAAAGTTTTTGTATAAGTCTAGGAAGGCCTGAACTAGGGTGATGACAGAGTCAAGAGAAACTGAATACAGAACTTGGTAAATGAAGGAGAGGGAGGAGTCAAAGGTGGCTCTGCAATTTTGAGTCTGAGTAATTAATGAATTAATAAAAGCATTGACTTTTAATTGTTAGTCTGAAATCAGCAATAAAATAATAGAATACAGGTAATTCATCCATTCATTTAGTCATCATACATTACTGCATATCTGCTTCAGGACAGGTACTATGCTAGGTGTTAGGGATTCCTAAAGTGACAATTATAAAACATCAAGGTTAGCACAATGATAGCTATAGGCAAAGAATTTTGGGAGAGCAAACAAGAAATGGTAAGACACCGTTTTCAGCTATAGCTTGTTGGAAGAGGTGATAAACTAGTGAGGGAGAAGTCAGAGACAACTCCCAGGTTTTGAGGATGGGTGATTAGGTCATTAGTATTACCATCAAATGAGATTGCATCTAGAGGAGGAGAAAATGGATTAGAGAGGAAACAAGTTGAGTACTGGATCTATTAAGTGTGAGGTATGCAGTTAAGACACGTGACTTTAAAGCTCGGGTGAGAGGTCAGAGCCAGAAATGGAGATCCGAGAGTAATCATCATATAGCCAGTGGTGGAAACTGTGAGAGCCAAAAAGCGGAGAATAGAGGAAGAAAAACTGAAACAAGTATGGAATTCTGGAAAAACCTAAGAAAAAATGATATTTAGGGGTAAGCAGAGAGAGACCACAAATAAAAATGGTTAGAGCAGCCACAGGAGAATGGTATTTTGGAAGCCAAAGCAGCTTAGAACTTCAAGGAGGGAAAGGGATAATCTACAGTGTAAAACGCAGCAAAGACAGCTGGTAAGATAAAGATAAAAAACAGTGTTCTGTGATTCTTATGGTGTGACAGATAAAACAGTTCTTTTAACTTACACAATCCTCTTCCTCTTTCCCTTCCAAGAAGTCTTAGTGTTTTCCCAGATGGAATCTTATAGATCTTCTGGGATGGTCTGGAAGGATGAGGTGGGAGAGACAACCTAGAAAGGAAAGCAGGTAACTGCAATGAAGATGAACTTTTATGAAACAACATAGGAAAAAGAAAAAAAATACTCTAATTTATAAACATGTGGTTTACAATTGTGCTATCAGAGAAAATAAATGAGTTCTGCTGTTAGACATACTTCTACTTTAATTAGGCTCTGCCATTTATGAGTTGTGAGACCTTGGGCAAGATATGTAAACTCTCTTAGCCTCTTTCTCATCTCTGGAACGCAGCAAATTCCCCCTAGCCTTCACAGATTCTTGTTAAGAATTTCATAACACAATGTGGCTGGAGAGCTAGCACAGCACGTTGCAGGAATAGCTGCACATGTGAACATGGATACAAAGATGTTTGTTGCAGTGGTGCCTGTAATACTGAAGAACTGGAAACACCTAAACATTCTTCAGTAGGGAAATGGTAATGTAAATTATTATGTATGCACACTATCGAAAAACATTCAAATGAATTAAAAGCAGAGATCATGTACTGACATGGTAAGACATTCAATATATATTGTCAGGTAAATAGGTAGGTTGCATAATAATATGTACAATAGGATCCTAAAGAGATAGATAGCACAGGTAGAGAAATAAATACCAATCTCAGACAGTTCTTATGCAGTGTGTTCCAATTTTTGTGTTTTAAACTGGTGTGTATAAATGCATAGGAAAGTATCCAGATGGATAAATACCAGACTGTTAAAATTGGGGTAACCTATGGGAAAGAAAGAGGGATGGTAGACTAGCCTTAAACCAGGTTTCTCTGGTAACAACTTTCACTCACAGAAAACGCCCTTCAGCCAATCTCTAGCTCTTTAAGACAATGTGGGTAGGTGTCAGGGAAGCCCTAAGGGGGAACTAAGAAATAAAGAATGCTAGAAAACTAGAGCCCTGAATCAGAGAAGCACTTTCACTAAGCAAATGACATCCTCTAACTGAAACGGCAGAAAGCTCTGAGCGTGAATTAAAGGGCAAAGGTGGTCCTCAGAGAGCATCAGAGTCTGTGAATACACTGACCCTGTTGGAATCAGAAACCTTCGGGCTGAGAGGGATATATAGACACATCCTGTGAACATTCAGTGGCCAGTGTGTCAGGGCATTAACTGTAAGCTATCATGCTTACAAAATAATATCTCAAAAAAAAATTCAATGTGACTGGGACAGAGGTGACACAGTATCTGAGAATATCAGAGAATTCAGTTAAGTAATACAGTATAGGTGAAATCCAGAAAACCTACCAAGGGGTTAATATAGTGCAGAGCTTCCACAAAACAAGGGGACAGTTAAAATACCAACTAAAAGCAAGATGGCCCAGTGCCAACCAGTCTGTGTGAAACACACAGAAGTAGAGCTAGGCTGGACAGGAAGTATTTTGGAAGTCATACTGGTCATCAGCAATTCTTTAGTGAGGAGGAACCTGAGAATGACAGCCAAACCTACTGTATAGCCTTGATATTGATTGCATATATTCACGCATAAGAAAACTACAAAAAGGAATTCTATCTGCGTCTCACAAAGCAGGTGAGTTTTGTAATTCTCTACAAATTCTTCTATCATTCACTTAACGCCCCAAGTTGAAAGAAATATCTGACATTTTACAGAAAAATACCTGCACCACAAGGCATGGTTTTTGCCCAGTGACTAAAGCCAGGGCGGCAGCCTCTCTAAGAATTGTCTCTGTACCTTTATTTTCATCTGAGTATCCTACGATCAAGCAAGCAACTATTACTACCTGGGAGTCAGAAGCCAGACATCAAAGAAAGGAAATACCCATCCTTTCGATATCTGGCTCCTACTTGTACCAAATAGCCATAGAAGTCTATGGATAGCTTTAGTACAGTCACCGCACTTTGTACCTCCCTTTCCAGAAGCTAGAAACTGCTCCATGGATTGGTGACAGACGTGCTGTGCACTCTTCATTTAAAAATTTGGCAGTATGTATTGCTTTATTTTGAGCTGTTTAAAACTCTGAAACTGCCAGTTTCTGTCTTGAGTTTCAGGCTTTATTGTTTACTGGCTTAGTAAACCTACTCTGCTCCAATCATGCTTCCTCCCTTCGTCTCTCTCATCTAAAGACCATGAAAAGTACCACTTCCTCTTTAAATCTCCACTAACTACCCTAGCCCATGTTTCTCTCCCATCTCCAGTACCATATGAAACTGACGCTGGTACTCCAGAGCTTAGTATTTAATTACTTAAGTTTCATATGTTAATTTTGCTTATAGAACTACACCATTAATCTCCACTTGCCACAGGTCTTGTTATCCATCTCTTGCATCTTTTCCAACAGCATTTAGGTCCCCTGGGGGTATACAATAGTGAATCAAAGTGAGGAGATGATTCAACACATGGGGAAAATAGAAGCACAAATTAGGGACAAGTCATTAAATATTTTTCCATTTGTTCCCTACAGGTCAGCTCTAGGGTAGGCCAGACATTGAGAAAACACATTCGCATGTTTGCCTTAGTTTCTACCTCTAATCTTTGTGTAAATACTCATTTAAACAGAGGTGAACTCATATGGAATATCAAATCTTCTGTCTTCCCCCTCTTCCCTTTCGAAAAAGTTGCTATTACAACTAATCATTTTCTCATGTCAGTCAGGTTATAATATGCACACATTTTGAGAACTGTATGATATCCCATCAGATGGGCACACCTTAATTTCCTTAACCAGCCCCTCTCTGGAAACAGTGTGACTTCCCTCAACTTATCCTACAATAATTATTGAAACATTTTTTGCCCTCATTTCATATTGAGATTCCCAGATGCAAAATCTACTAGGTCAAGAGGTAGTAACATTTAATACATTGCCAAATTACTTCCACTAAGTTGTACCAATTTCCAACCTCAGAAGTAGTGTGTAAAAACGTCTATCACACCTCACTTTGGTTGGCACTGGCTATGACTACCCTCATTTTAGAAAAATTGTGAATTTGCTAAGAAAAATGGTTTTAGTTGTCCAGTTTGTATTTATTAGTGATGTTTTAACATTTAAAAACTGTATTTATTGGTCATTTATACTTTGCTCTTGTCCTTTGCCTACTCATTTTGAGTTGGTTCTTAGTGATTTTGACATTTATAGGAGCTCTTTATATATCAAGAATTGTCATTTTTTGGGCAAATAGTTCTCCTAGTGTGTTCTTTTATAGTGTCTGATGTTAAGATTTTCTTTATTTAATGCAATATGTAGTTTTGCCTTCCATTAAGATTGAAAAGTAAGATGATTTGTTTTATACTTTAATACCTTAATCCATCCAGCATTTTTAAGTTATGAACTGAAAATGTGTATTATTTTCCCACAAGTAATTAATTTTGTGGGACCATTTATTAATCTATTCTTTATGTATCTATAAATACCAAAATATATAAAGATGTGGGCATTCTCCCCTTATTCCCTCCCCGCTTCAACCCCATTCACACAAACCCACCTTCCAAAGTAAATGTGTCTTACATACATGTGACTATGTATGATGTATTTGTCTTGACAAAGGTAAGATACATATTGCTCTGCCACTTTTCTCACTTTATTATCAGCATCTATGTCCGCACATACCTAGCTCATTCTTTTTAATATCCATATCATTCTATAATCTGTATGTACCACAATTTAACCAGTCCCAAACTCATGAAAATTTAAGCTGTTTCCAATACTTCATTACAGAAATGCTGTAATAGACATCAGTGCGCAGATGTATTAGAGCATTAGGTAAGTATTTCTGGAGGATATATTCTCAGAAGAGTAATTGTTCAAAGGACTTGCTTATTTACAACTTTGACAAGATAGAGGCAAATTCAATTTGTAGAGAACCGCTTTAATTTGTACTCCCAGAAAAAAAGGTAAAATTTCATTCACCCACACCTTGAGCAACACTGGATAAACATCTTTTTGAAAAAGAAGTTTTTTGCCAATCTAATATGTAATAACATTTTTATTTGAATGTGATAGAGCATCTTTTCATACATTCGTATGTATCTCTTTCTTATATGAATATTTTTGTCCCCTTTTCTACTAGGTTGTTTGCTTCTTTTATTGATTTCTAATAATGAAGTACTAAGTTTTTTTGTATGTTGGAAATATTTTTTCCAAACTGTCACTTTTTTTCATAAGTGGGTCCGTGTGCATGTACGCATATATATAAATATACATATCACACAAATGTACCAACCTTTTCCTTTGTGAACTTTGGCATTTGTCATGCCTTGGGAAAATGCTCCTAAATCAATATTCTAAAAATGATTTTCTATATTATTTCTTATAGTTTCTTCCAAATATATAATTTTTCTAATATTAATTATTAAAGAATGCATCTTTCCTCCACTAATCTGAAATGCTATTTTATAACATTCTAAATTCCTAGAGATATATGGGTCTTCTAAGGTACTCTCTTCCCAATGATTTCTGATTATTTCATTTTAAAAGGTATCACTGTTTCTAGGTCATCTGTTCTGTCAATGATATGTCTGTTCTCACACCAGTATCACCTTGGTTTAATTATCATAGTTAAAAGACATAAATGTTGCCCTGGAGTAACACTTGTAAATGGGTTCAAGCATGTTTGATGCAGTATTATTTGAAGTAGCGCAAAACTGGTGTCAACCTAGGAGACTATCAATAGTGACTTGGCAAAATAAAATGTGATACATCCATAATAGAGAATATCAAGCTAGTTAAAAGAATGTCACTTTGAAAGGAATCAAAGAGAACTCTATGAATGGAGATAAAGACATCCACGAGAATTTGTTCAATTAAAATAGCAAGTTGCAAAACAATGCCCATAATGTGACACCATATTTATGTAAAAGAAAACACAAAACAATATTTTATATATATCCATATCCATTTTTTAAACAGGTACATACTTTAGACATCTAGAAGGAAATAGAACTGATAATAGTGGTTAACTCTGGGGAGAATAAGAGAATTGGGAGTGGTGAGAAAAGGAAACCTGAGCCTACTCTGTAATATTTCAACTTTTTACATTACAAGGAGAATGTACTCATGTACCAATTATGTGACTAAAAATTTACATTAAAATACATATATTTAAAATTCACAATGATTTTCTGACTCACTCTTATCCACGAACCTCACACATAGTTGGATATTTCAGTTAATTATCAGTGTAAAATATACTTTGTAGGCATACCATTCGGACTGGTTTCCCTCCTTCTAGGTTCTGCCCATCCTCAGAGGCCCAGGTCAAGGTTCTTTTCCTCCTTCAGGCTTTCTCCATTTCAGGCTACCCTGACCCTTGCCTTCTCTAAGTTCCTATTGGCCCAAAAGTCCACCTCCCTCCCTTCAGCCCTTAATCATTCTCCAAATGGCCCCTGTAAAGGGATTTTGTGCCTACCCATCTACTGCATCCTTTCCACCAGGGCAGTGCCCTCCTCTGCAACCTGGTTTTCAGAAGGGAAAAAATAATAAGAAAAATATAGTGACTCCATGGGAAAATGAAGCTGTCAAAAGACTGAAAAACCTTCCTTCATCTCCTCATGCAAGTGATGGACCATTCAGGAATGCAGACTCCAATTGCTAATACCTTTGTGTATGGGTGTGTCACAAACGAGTGTGAACATCTGCTACAGCTTGTTGGAATAAACCTTTAAATGAATATACATCATGTCAGTTACATTTATATCAATTCTCTCTCTTCTCGATCTTGGAACACTTCCTTTATATTTAACAGATATTTTTTGAGTCTGAGACGAAGGAGGAATGATATAAAAGCTGTTAGCAGACTGAATACGGTTATGATTTGCTAGTTAAAATTATAGCTCCTGGAAATTCCCTTATAAATAGATACGATCAATAGACTTAAAATCTTTCTAGATTGTTAGGACAAGCCAGAAGTCATAATTTCAGAATTCAGTTCTAGTGGTAACTGCTGCTTCTGGAAAATCAGGAGAGAAACCAACAGTATTATTATTATTATTTTTACAATTCCAGAAAGAGGTATCCACTACTTTTAGAAGTGTAAGTGTGAGTGTGTGTGTAAAACAGGATGTACCAGAAGGACTAATAGAGCCATAAGTATTATTAAAGCAAACACAGCGCCAAGCACTGTCCTAGCACTTTACATATAATCCCCTCAACAATCCTATGAAGTAGGAACTATTATCTTTATTTTACATATGAGGAAATTTAGGGACCAAGTGAGTAAGTTATCTTGCCCAAGATCACATAAGAAGTGGCAGAGCCAGGATTTAAATTCAGGAAGTCAGCATTTACTCTTAACCACTAAATTATGCTGCATGTGAGATGCCACAAAGTAAGAAAAACAACATATGTAACTAACTATAGGGGATCAATTGTAGTATCTCTTATCAAGGAATTGTTTAGGTACTTTCTATACTGAAAGCACCAATGGACTTAGCTCCACCCTCCCCTTAGAATTTAGAGTGCTTTCCCAGATAGGTGCTTATTTATGTTCCAAATATTTCTGGATAGTTAGGAATGTTATGTGAAATTATCTTGTTTGAGAACTGAGACCAGGAGAAGGGAGGAACTTACCCAAGTTTCTGTAATCAGGGATAGTTCTGCAATCAGGATCAGATCTTCTGATCCTTACTATACAGCAAACTTAGCTTTTCTGATGATGTCCTAGAAGGTCAAACAAGGGGACAGGAAAGGACACAAAATAAAAAGACATGAGATGGTTTTCTTTCCCATCAATCAATGCATTTTATCACACACAAAGGACACCAGAGCTGATAAATAATGTACAAGTTGTTTCTTTTCCCTTTCTTGTGGTTATATTTTCAGATTTACTTTATTGTACGTTTATCTTGATTTTTGACAAAGTAATTGTTTTTGCCTTTTTTTTTTTTACTTTTTACTAAGGATAATTTCAAATGGATAAAAATGTAGAGGGAACATTACAAACCTACCCGAATTTATCATCTAGCTTCAACAATTACCAACTGAAGGCCATTTTGTTTCATCTATAACCCCACCCACCGCTCCCCCACCACTCGGATTTTTTTAAGTTCACTGAATAGCTGACTTTCTGTATTTTATTATGGAAAATTTCAAACACATACCAAGAAAGAATAATATAAGGAACCCCATATGTCCATCGCTCAGCTTAATCGATTATTAACTTGAGGCCAATTTTGTTCCATCTATACCCCTCCCCACTTCCTCCTACCGCTGTGATTATTTTGAAGCAAATCCTAGTCATCAGCGTATTTTGAAACCAATTCCAGATATTTTATTACTTAACCCATAAATATTTTCTCATATATATCTCGACAGGATAAAAACTGTTTGAAAACATAACCACAATACCATTATAACGTCTAAATAATCGACATCAATTCCTTAAAAAAAAAAAAAAACCATCAAATATCGAATCCGTCTTCTCATTTTCCCGACGCATCTTAAACAGTTTTTTTTTTTTTTTTTTTTTTTTTACAGTTGGTGTGTTCGAATCAGGATCCAAACAAGGCCTACTTATTGCATGTGGTTCGTCTCCAGCTCGCTCTCGTTCTTCATCTTTCTCCCCCCTCCTTTTTTTAAACTTTTCAATATGGAAAATTCCAATCCCCGCTATTTTAAGGTAATTCCCAGATAGCAAATATTTCATCGGTAAAAATTGATATGTCTGTCTTATATCTCTAGTTTCTTCCAAGGAAGAAGCTGATGGGCAGGAAAAGCACTATAATGAACGAATTTACATAATTTATGTTTTTCCTCATTCTGTTACGCGGGTTTTTCTGTCCACAATAATAGCTAATATCTTTCAGAGCCAGGCTTCGTATTAAGCGCCTTATACACACGCATATACAGTACACGCCTCTGAGGTACACGTCTCTGAGGTAGATACTATTATTATCACCATTTTACAAACATGGAAACCAAGACACAGAAAGAACGGGAGCCAGCCTAAGCTGGGCGTTGGCGAACGGGAATTTGAATCCAGATCTGCCCGATTGTGAAGCTATCAGTTAATCCTGTCTATATACACGACGATAAGAGGAAATCGTCAACCCTTTCTCCCCACCCCCACCCCGAAACCTGAAACGAGAATCCAGTTCTTTCCAGCAGCCGACGTGTGATCACTGCCGTCCCTCCAACCGCCATAGTAAAGCCAGGTTTCTCTGGCAACTGATATCCATAGGCAGACACGTCACCCTGGAGGCGGGCTTATGCCCTGCAGCCAATCACAATCGTCTTGTCTAAGTTTTAGAATGTTCCATTATCAAATGATTGGACGAGGCCCACCACGTAAGCAATGACACTCCGCCGCAGTAAAGGCGGGTGCTAGCAACCTGCTTCTTCACGGTTAAGGCTTAAGGCAAACCAATCATCTTCCCCCTTTAGTGCGGGCTCTGGCCAATGACGTTCGCCCCCTTAGGTTCTGAGCCCGCCCTCCAAAAGCGCGACAGCCGTTGGGTCATAAGTCTATAGGGCAGGGTGTTCACGTGGCCTATTTTCACGACCCAGAGTTCCGCTTTGACCAGTTTTTTTTTTTTCCTGCAGGGAGGCATTATGGGTTTTTTTTTTCCCACTGGGAAAGGAAGTGTCTACGTGGCCTGCGGAAACGGGATGGGCGGAAATGAGCTAAGGTTCCCGGGAGTGGGGAAGCGCGAGGTCAAACCTAGGGCCACGTCCCCGAACCTCTTGCGCAACTCTTGGAAAAAAATTAAAAAGGCAGAATGGGGATTTTGATATATGTACGGGAAGGGGTGGTGGGTGCTGCAGCCGCGTGGGGTTGGAGCTAGTGTGTTAGTGCGCAGCGAGCTCACATGGCCTTGGGGTTGCGGTGTGTGCGCGCGCCAGTCCTCGTGGCGCTGGAGGTGGTGGGTGTGCGCAGGCGCGCGCCTCTAGCGTTGGGGCCGGTGTGGATGCTGCAGCGAGGGCGTGCGTGCCTGGGTGCGCGCGCGCGCGCTCCATATAAATCGTTCTCTACTTTTGCGTATGTTTGAAAATTGTTCTAATGAAAAGGAAAATAGAGTCAAGGCGACCATAACAGAAATAAAAGGCCTTTGCTAGAAATATTTTGGTTTTTCCTGTCAATTTAATTTAAGACCCTACAAATACACTTTCTTCCCACGTTTTTCTCGGTGCCAAAATCCTGTTCTAAACCATAACCCTCCAATGGTTAAGACCCAAAGCCTCCCATTCCCATATTAGCGATTCCAAGGTGCCGCTTCTTTCCTGTTGCCTAGTATCCTTCACCCCCTTCTCCCTGCTCCTTTCCCCTCCTCCCCGCTCCCCCCCCTTAAAGTCGCGTGCAATTCTCCTGACACAAAACGTATTTTTTTGTTGAGAGTATCTATATACGACAGCCTTCCCCTTTACAAGAGACTGCAAATTTCTGTGGGGGCTGGAGCTCTCTTACCTTTTTGTCCTGAGCTCCAAGCACGGTGCCCTTCAGGCAAGTATGCGCTCAGTTAATTTTCCAGAAAGTTCTCTGGGTGAGGTTTATAGCTCGTGAGTCTGCCACTAGATGCCGCCAAATCCCAGCAAAGGATTGGCTGTTTGGTCCTTGGAATTATGGGATTTTGTTCCCCCCCTTTTTCTGATTCGCTGAACTCTTCAAACAATCTGTAGGGCTCATGTGTATCTTTCTTTGCTAGGGAAAACTCAAATAAACTTCTGTAAATAGCCCACCCAGGCAGAGGACTATGACCCGAGATCCAAATGTTTTTCATTTCTTTTCTTCTTTGAGAAAGAATTTCCCCCCTCAACGCCTCTTCTTTGCCTTTTGGGGGGCGGAGGTCAGAATTGATTAGTGACCCGGGGCACTGATGCTCATGAAGATTCTAATCCTTTCTGTGCACTATCTTTTCAAATGCTCAGCTCCCCCCCGCCCCCCCCCCCCCACGCCCCAGTGAAAAATACAGATGGCTGTTTAGTCAGTAAGGACAGATAAGAACCTGGACCCTGATAGTGAAAACTAATCTTTTCCTCTTGAAATTTTTATTAGGTATGTGTTTGCACCCTATTTTCTATAGTGGTATTGCTAAACTTTATTATGTCTTTGGAGTCAGAGACCTAATTTTAAACCCCATTCCACCACTTACCAGCTCTGAGACCCTGGGTTTATGTTTTGTGATTCTCAGGGTTTTGTGCGCTTTCTGTAATTTAGATGTTGTGTCATATCCTTCACGTGGATCTTCTTTTATTCTTCACAAAATCCTTATTAGATGAGTACTAATAAGTCAAAATCAAACAACAAAAGTTATACCTCTTCCAGTTATCAATCATATACATGAGTGTATGTACACCCATACACACACACAGGAGGGGGGCAGAATTTAGAGCAGTTCTCAAAGTATGTTTCCAAGACACACCAGTAACATCATTATTACCTTTTGAGAAGTTGTCGGAAATTTAGATTCTCAAGCCTCACTTCAAACCTAATGAATCAGAAATCCTAGGGGTAGAGTTTGGCTACCTATGTTATAACAAACTGTTCTGGTGACTCCAATGCACACTGAAGTTAAAACCACTGCTTTGGAGGGTGGAAATGCAATGCTTATTTTTGTACACTCCACTAGAGGGTGCTACAGAATGTAAAACAAAATTATTTTTTTATTGAGACACCCTGCAAATTATCAGACCCCTTTTACAGATTAAAAACTAATGTGGAGAGTTGTCAAATTATTTTCCCAGTGCATACAAAAAGTATGGGAGCGAGGATTTGAAATTTACCTGCCTCTGGAGCCCAAGCCCTTGACAGTACTCTGTTGTTCAGCCATAGTAGCTTGTCTTTCTGGGCCTCAAACTACACTACAGATACGTTGATCTCTGCTTTGGCTAATGTTGACTACAGCATCAAGAAGAAGGCAGGGAAGCAAACCAAATAAATGGAAATATTCTGATGATTTCATACCCTCCCTCATCTCCATTCTGTAATAAGATATCACATAAAAGCTCATAAGTATTTCCCTTCTTGCTTTTATATTTCCCAAATGCTCTCCGCTCTGCAGTTATTTTTTTGAGTTTATGTCTGAACCTCTCCTATGTGTGAGGAAGGAATCAGGTGGTGTGGAAACACAGTTGTTGAAGGCCTATTATGGGGCACACACTCTATATAGCTCTCTACCCGTTAATCCCAACAATAGGCCTGTAAATTAGGTGATGATTATCATCACTTTTATACATAATGAAAGTGAGTTCTGGAGACTATAATTATTTTTCCCTGGTCATATAACTTGTCTGTAGTGGAGCCTGGGTGATTCCTGGTATATCTGACCCTACCATCCTGCTAAACTTTCCACTGCTTGGTTTTGAATCTGGTTTGGTTACTTACTGTTAATGTGACTTTCAATAAGTTCTTCAACTTTTCTGAGCCTCAGTTTCACCATATATTAAATGAGAACAATTATTCCTGTTTCATAGTCTTAGAGCTACACTATCTAATGTGGTAGACACTGGGAACATATGGCTATTTAAACTTAAATTAAGTAAAATGAAAAACTCAGTTCCTTAGTCCCACTAACCACATTTCAAGGGCTCAATAGCTACTTATGGCTAGTATTAGTACCGTATTAGATCCTGACAGATACAGAACATTCCCACCATCACACTAAGTTCCAGTGGACAGTGCTGATGTAGAGTATATAAGGTATGTAAAAGGGCCTAGCATAGTGTACATTTCTTGGCAGGTGCCCAAGAAAAGTGATTTCCTCTGCTCTTTCCTTTCAGCATCAGAGCTAGAGGTATTCTCCTGTTTTATTGATGGGGTCAGGAAAGGGGAGTAACTTACCCAACGTTCTACAACAAGGGATGTGTCTGGCATTGGGACCCACATCTCCTTGCTCTTGCTCCAATATTCTGTCAAATAAACCCATCCTTATGCTCTATTGAGTGAAGTTTCAGGGCCAAGGGTGTGAATAATGTGAATTAACTTTGGATTCAGGATAGTAGCAGAAAAAGACATAGGAACTGAATGCCTTCTGTGTGCCAGGCAGAACTGTGCTCAGCGCTTTACATCTATTATCTTTGTGAATCCTCACTGAAGACCAGAGAAGTTAAATACTCATTCCAGGTTGCCAGCGAGTAAATGGCAGAGCAAAGATTCAGACTTCTCTGACTCCAAAGCCCATGTTTTGTCCCATTAAGCCATGCTACCCTCTCAAATGTGAATACCCTCCTACCCCTTCCACTTACTAATGGGGTGAAGCTTCAGCAGATTCCTGACTCTTGGTGGGTCCTCAAAAAATGCAAGTTACTCTTCTCCCTCTCGAATTTACAGCGGAACCACTGTCTTCATAATCTGTGTCAACAGGAAGGGAAAGATAGCTTAGGTCAATGTTTGTTTGGCTTCAAGGCTCAAGGCCAGACAGAGACTGTTTATGGCCCCAGCCTTCACAGAACACCCAATGACTCCGAGATCTCTACGTTAATTTTCAAGGCCATTATTTGCTCATACAATGCCTTTGTGCTAATTAGAAACATGTGCCACCTGGGGGCAGACAAATTGCAGAGAAGCGTCCTCTCCAGTGGGAAATGAGAAAGAATACTTTTTTCTCTCAGTGATGTTGAAGCCTTCCCAGGGCAGCTGAAGAATGAATTTCAGCCTCCACTTGTTCCCTCTCAATGGAATACCCTTGTGCTGGGTGCAGCCTGCCATGCCCAACGGTATTTGCTGGCCTTGCTTATTTTACCTGGTGGCTGAGTGAGCCTTCCTAGGTCTGGAACGTAGTGGTCAGTCTGTTCTGGAATGGGGAGAGACACCCGTGTCCTCCCATGGCTTCCGGGTGGTAGATAAAATGGGTCCATTCTAAGGTTAATTTGATATTTATTTCATTTGGTTCTGACTAGCTTATTGAATGATTTTTAAAAGAATGTTTGGCTAATTTAAAAGTGAAAAAACTCCCTGATATTTCAAGGCTAAGAAAAATGATATTTCTCTAATAATGATGTTTTTCTGTCTGTTTATACCTTCCTCATTCCATAGGGATTTCATAAAACCAGTTCAGCAAATTTGTCTGGATCAGTCTAGTTTGCTAGCCCATGACAGACAGGGCAAATGATGAAAATAGTAGCGGGAAAGTTTTATCTGTTTAGAAATATCTGTTCTCTTCTAGATCCTCTCTCCTCCTGTAATCACCCCCCACCCCTGGTGCTGACTGACCCATCCATTTGGCCAAAAGAGGTTACTTCAAATGACTAAGAACCTGAATCTAATCAGTGTAGTCCTTGGGTGACCTTGGGGGTGCC